GAGGAAAGTTGCGACATTAAAGGTGAGTGATTATTTTGTTACGCATTTTAAATTGATATTTTATTAAGTAAAGACTTACCTTAATGTATCAGACAAATGTTTTTATAATTATATACATGCTGTAAGCTTATGAATTATTGAAGTGAATAAAATAAAATGAGAAAAATAATAAATTGGTTGTTCAATAACTTTAAGATGAGGCAATTAAATAAAATGAAATGTAAATGATTAAGTTAATTAGGATTACCCCCATATGGTACTGACAGGGGATGCGATGTACTCGTGCTTAAAACAAAAAATGAAAATGGTAAAGGAGTATTTTAGGGTACTTATGGGTACAATTTTGAAGATATTTTCGGGTATGACGTAATCTTAATATGAATTCTTAAAGAGATTAAAAATGATAAATATTTAAAATGAAATGGTAAGAGTTAAATAAGAACTGAAAGCTTATAATTTTAATTTTATCAATAAACAACATATCCTTAGAACATTCATGCACAACATATACATATTAATTTAATGCATGATAAAATTGTAATTGCTCACAAAATGATGGAAACTTACTGTTGAATTTAATTATTTTTTTCAAGATAAACCATGGATTGATTTGTCGGACACGAGAGATTTAGTTTATAGGAACATGACTACTATTGATAGATTTTATATTTTTTTTATGATTGTGGTTATTTTACTGTTTATTTCTGAGTGGTAATACTGCTGTGTATTAGTTTGAAATATTTTCTTTGCAAAATATGACATTAATTTTGGATGATTTGATTTTTGTGTAATGTATTTTGTGTTTTCTTAATGACTTATAAATTAGAAGTAATAAAAATCTGCAAAAATAAATAAAATATGAATACCATTTGATTGTAGTTCCTGACTTGTATAATTCTAAGTTATCCGACTGGATCGTGATAGATGTTGTGCTCACAACCACCACCTCATTAATAGAATGCCAAGCAGGGTTCTTAGATTCAAAGTTCTTTTCCACATTTTGATGGAAGAATACCCTAATGTTAGAGTTTTCTCATACAATCTTTCTCTAAAAGTATTTGGTTCTCTTTTATCCACTTTCACTAATCAAACTTCACAAAGCTCAACCCAAAATCCATCATATCTATGTTCCTTTTTTATGTTTCTAACAAAAGGAGGTGAGTGCTATTCTCTCATTGCGAAAAATATTACAACTTCATTCATATTACCTTTTTTGAAAATCAATCATATTATCCCAAATTTAATATTCAGAGAGAATGTCTAGTTAAATTTCAAACTTGGGACACTATTTTGGATGCCTACACTGGTTTAGAATCATCAAATTTTTTTCTACTTCCCTCTAACTACTCTGCTCCAAAGTTTCACCAGTTGAGGATATCCAATCTAAGATTGAAAAAAAGGGAATGTATAAGGAACTTGTTGTGTACAATATGAAAGAAATTCACCTAGCATGATAAGGACAACATGCAACCACATGACTGCTCACAACCAAACCTGAATCCACACATCTCTGATGTTCTAAAGGAGGTGGAATCCAGTGGAGAAGACATGAAAAGTTGCACAAAATATCTTATGTAGAGTATGTTACGTGTGAGAAATTATGATCAACTTATAAAGTTTTTATTTCTAATCTTGATAGCGTGTAAATACCCAAATCTATTCATGATGCACTTCAAAATCCAAAATGGAAAAATACAGTTGAAGTGAAAATCCAAGCACTTGATCAAAATAACACATTGATCTTTGCAAAGTTTACTTCAGATAAAAGATCTGTTTGGTGCAAATGGGTGTTCAATGTCAAGTACAAAGCAAATGGGAGCGTTGAGAGGTTCATAGCTATGGCCAAAGGTTTCACTTAGTTTTATGGATAGAATCAATATATATTTGCACTAATGGCCAAGCTAAACACTATTAAGGGTTTTTCTTTCTTTAGCAGTGAGCAAAGAGTGAGAACTGCATTAATTTGATATCAAGAATTCCTTGAATGGAGACTTTGAGGAAGAAGTTTGTATGGAGATCCCACTAGCATTGAAAATGACTCAAATAAACACCTATTTGTAAACTAAGAAAGTTACTCTATAGCCTCAAATAATCTTTACTGGTTGGTTAGACAATTTTGCCAAGACTATGAAATTTAATGGGTACATTCACTGACAAGCTGATCATACACTGTTCATAAAGAAGACACATAGTGGTAAGAAATATATACTCATTGTATTTGTAGATGATATGATCCTGGCAGGTGATGATGCCAAAAAAAAAATTGGGAAGATTAAGGAGATTTTTGCCACAATTTGAAATCAAAGACTACTAAAATTACATTCCATGTATTAAGTTTTAGTTCTACTCAAATGAAGGCCTTAAGCTCCAATGTAACCCTCCATAATTCAAGTTTACCTGGGCTTTTTCTCTAGTCTTATCCACGAGAAGGATATCATCAACAAAAAACATACAGCAAGGTACATCCTCCAGTAAGTGTCCAGTAAGACCATCCATAACTAAAACAAAAAATATAAGGGATTAAAGCCGATCCCTGAACTAAACCAACATAAATAGGATAATATTTGGTCAACCATCCTTCTATTCGAACATAGGTCGAACACAAGTAACATCTATAGTATACATATCTTTAATGACTTGAATATAAGTCATATTAACACCTTTCTTCTCAAGAACTTTCCAAAGGATACAAAGGATATGATATCTCTTGGAACCTTATCGTAAGCTTTTTCTAAATCAATAAAAATCAAATATAGATTCTCCTTATTATCTCTGAACTTCTCCATCAAATAAATGTACAACTTCCATAGTATACCTGTCGGGCATAAATCCAAATTGATTATGAGAAATATTTGTACTACGTCTTAACCTTTGTTCAATTACCCTCTCCCATAATTTTAAAGTATGACACATCAACTTAATTCCTCTATAATTTGCACACTCTTGTGCATCCCCTTTATTCTTAAAAATGGGGACCAAAATACTTTTCCTCCACTCCTCAGACTTCTTTTTAGTCCTTAAAATAATATTAAAGAGTAGTAAACCAAGAATCTCCCAAGTCTCCTAAACTTTTCCATACTTAAATTGGGATATCATCCATACTTAAATTGGGATATCATCAGGTCCTACAAACTTTCCACCCTTGATTTTCTTTAAAGCTTTCTCAACTTCTTTTTTACTAATGCGACGGTTAAAATAAAATATATTATTATTATTATTATTATTATTAACGATATTAATTATTATTTTTAACGATATTAATATCACTAAGGTCGATAATATTTTCATAAACTTCATTAAAAAAATTATCAAAATAACTCACCCACCTATGTTGAATATCTTTTTCTAAGAATATTTTTTTTTCATCTTTAATACACTTTACTTGAGTTAAATATTAACTTTTCTTTTTTCTATATTTGGCTAGTTTATACATATATTTTTCACTCTTCTTAGTATCTAATCTATTATAAAGATCATTAAAAGCAGAATTTTTAGCCTCACATATTGTTCTTTTAGACTATTGTTCTTTTAGACTCTATTTTTCCCTGTTTTAGACTCTCTGCGGGACGTTTGATCTTTTTCCCTGTTCTCTAAGTTTTTACATTTAAACCAATTTTTATAACATAACTTTTTATATTTTATTTTTTCTTGTACATTATTATTCCACCACAAACTATTTTTATAAACTATTTTTATTCAATCAAAAGAACTTTTTCTTTTGATTCTCCAAGTACATCTTTTGCTACTCGTTTAATAGTAGTTGCTACTCTATCCCTCATAGCATTTGTTTCCTCGTGAACATCCCAAATTTTGAAATCTTGAATTTTACTCATAAAAATAATTTTAGTTGTCTTTTAGGTTTCCCCATCTAATTCTACGATGCTACGATGATGAGTCCTAGTATTCTTTATTTTACAATTCTTCATTTTAAATCTATAACTAATAAACGATGTCGGGTACTTAATTCCTCACTTGGAATGACCTTACAATTTTTACAATCTCGACGATCTCTTCTTCTCATAAGAAATAATCAATTTGTGTTTTATTAGATTCATTCTTATAAGTAGTAAGTTGCTCATCTCTTTTCTTGAATAAATTATTAGTAATAACAAAATCATATGCTAAAACAAAATCTAAAATGAATATACCTTCTTCATTAGTAACTCCAAATCCATAGCCACCATAAATATTTCTTAAATCTTCTACCACTCTACTGACATGTCCATATTTAAATTTCTTCCAATAAAAATTCTTTCTTCAAGAGGTATCATTTGTATTAAGTATTCTAAGTCATTCCAGAATTTATCTTTAGCCCTTATATCTAAATCTACTTGATGTGCATAAACACTTATAATATTAAAAAATTTAGTATTAAAAATAATCTTAAGGGATATAATTCTATCTCCAACTCTATTAATTTTAACAACATTATCTTTCACTCTTATCTATAATTACACATACACAATTTCTAGTTCGACTCTTACCAAAATACCAATGTTTACAACTTAAATTATCAATCTCCTTAGCCATTTCTCCAATCCATTTAGTTTCTTAAGTACATAAGATATTAATCTTTCTGTGAATCATAATATCAACTAATTCCTTTAATTTACCATTGTGAGTACCTATATTCCACGATCATTTCCTAATATTAGTTTCATTAGTTTTATGGACTGGTCCGTAATGTGAGAAACCTTGCTTATTTGACACTGTACCCGGACGTCGGTGTAGCGGCCCTTGCACACTTTTCACTGTATTCAGGCTATACAACGCGTCCCTTCTAGGGGACGCCCTAACACTTACACAAATTTCAGGGGGCAATTTAAATAGTGCGAGACTAAATGGCCTCCATACAAATTTCAGGGGCAATTTTGACAAATTTTTCTAAATTTTAAGTAACCATCAGATAGCTATTTCTTCCCAGTCTCTTTTTGTGAAATTAAACTTTTTTTTGTTTTGCGTTCATATTCTTTTTAATTCCGTACTGTAACAAATCATAGGTGATCAGGATATCGTGAGGTATACGGCTGATGATATTTCAAAGCTGTTATCAACCAACAGCTATAGAGAAACCGGTGTACTACCACGTAAAACTAGTACAGGCCAATTCAATGGAAGTAAACACCATTTGAGAAGGGTAAAAAGTTTCATTTTCAAATTTATGCTAGTTTCTTTAAATATGCCTTTTATGCAGATAATGACCATTCGTCTTCTAATTTCTTAATTTAGCTTGAAATGTGCAAGACATTGGTGCAAGCAGCAGCAAAAACCTTAGGAGGAGGATCAAATGTTTTTCATGGAATTGATATGTGCAATGAAGTGCTTCATGGTAAAGGTCCTGATGTTGGCCTTGCAATACGGCATGAGTGCTTGTGCATTCGAGCAGCTTTGCTTCTTAAGGTTCATAATGGTCTCTTTATTTTATGTAAGTTACCGCCTAAATATACTAAGAATGACGTCTCAATCCCAGAGAAAATGGAAAAATGATGTTCACATGGCTATAAAAGATTGTAACAATGCTCGAAGCATTAATCCGACATCTTTTAGAGCATACTACTACTTGTCTGAAGCAATGATGCAGGTATGTTTTTTGTGTAAGATTTCAGTGGCTTGCATTACACTTTACGGCTCCCATTTGCTAATTAAAGGTCCTGCATAGTTGCCTTGTTGTCTGTTGAATAACTTTGATTGGTGCATGCAGTTACGGAAACACAAAGTAGCCTTAGATTTTGCTTTGGCTGCATGTGAAATAGATCCAACAAACCCTGAGGCTACAGAAAAGGTGGTAAGCATAAAGGATCATATTGCTGCAGGTTTGTTTCTCCTGTTTTCTGCTGTGACATTTTAGTTCGTGAAGCCTTACTTTTTATGGTATTTACTTTTGTGCACTTCATCCTTTACATGTTCTATTCTATTTTCTTCCCTTTTCTTTTCATTTAAAACATATTTTTTAATATTTGACGTCACATATTGTCCATTTTAGTTCATTCAGGCTTTTCTTCATTGATTCTTGGTGGGGGGATTTCTAGATCTAACGTTAATATTTGGGATCAGATTAATGATGAGCTTTTCTTTTGGGTGTTAGGTTCTTCAAATGATAGAATTCACTTTTGAATGATTTTTTCTTCGTTTGAAAACAAGTGGTTGCGGCATTAATGTATCTTTCTACTGTTAGCCGTGTCACACAATTGTAATATGCTGTGAAGCGCTATGTTCATTGCTATGCACACATGTTTTATTATTGTTTTTGCTTCAGTATTCAAAGTGCAAAGTTAAGCGATATTTTTACTAACTAGAGCATTCATATTTTTTATATCATTTATACATATATTATTTACATACGATAGTTATTTAGTTAATCTAACTTTTGGCTACATCAGGTTAACTTTTTTGATAAATATGAGGACACATTCAATAATAATAAATTTTTTATTTGAAAGAAAAAAAAATCAAGTATATAAATGAAATAAATATTAAAAGTATTGGATCTGACAGAAGGGCTGAGAAGAAAGCTGGAAGAGGAAGGGGAAAAAGTTCACTATCAACTTGATAAATCAGGGGCTAGAACTTGTCTCTCCTCAACCCCTATTTATATGCAGAGATTTGGGTTTGATTGCTACAGAGGAAGCTGCATGATAAGCTATGCGTGTAAAAAATACAAAATGTAAGTACAGGAGTGGAATTGGACTGGTAGTTGGCCTTCTGCTTGAGAGGAAGTCATTAGATAGCTTTTCAGGCTTGGTTAATTATTTAGACTGAGTCGGTTTGTCGAGTTCAAATTAATTCTAACAAGATCATGATTTTTGTAGATATGTTCCTCTTAATCTTTTGATGATTTTGCCTCAATCTTAGTGAATAAGTTCCTCAACTGGTTTGGCAAGTTCTCATGAATCTATTTGGCGAGTTTATCTTCAGCTTGACTGATAAACTCTATTTTGTTTCCCTGGATGCGGCCAGTGGATACATTTGATTGTTCTGGTGCGTTTATCCTTGGTTTTTATTGACAAGTGTGTGTTCTTGCCTTTCACTTGGCTGAGTCCACCTTTAAGGTATACATAAATGATGTAAGATTACTAAAGATTCAAGAATATACTCATGGGATTGAGTGACCAGTTAGAGACTGAGAGATGGAGGTAGTGTACGAGGAGGAGGGAATGAAGATGAATATAAGGAAACATTTCTAAGGGAAACCTTGTATGCTAGAAGCTATTGGTGCAGTAAAAGAACTAGTTAAAAACATAAGGAACAGGCAAGGGAGTGAGAGTTAAGTGAAAAACCGCCAAGGAAAGACTTGCTCCAACAGGAGTGAATGGAGAATTAATGACAAACAACTCGATAACTGCAAGAAACAATGTGGACGAACAAACGATCATATCAGGTATTGTGGCCAATGCTGAATAAAATCATTTAACTTGAACTAGGTTTGATCTAAGCAAGATTTGAGTGCATATTGCTAAGACACAATGCGGTGAAAGGCTGAGACAAGTTGCCTTGCTATCAGCATGCATGGGGCTGAATTGGCGGGAGGAATGAACTGGTTCAGCCTTGGTTTGCAAGGGGCCGGATGGTCCCTTGCCCGACTTGAAATTGCTTCCCAAAGGGGAGTGGTCTTCCCCCCTTAGCTATCTATTACTATATATTCCATGTTCTTTGTTTAGGGTTTTTTTTTGAGTTTTTGCTGATTTCATATTTCTCGTTGTCAGCGTTTCTCTCTTCCTAGGGCTATATGCAAGGACAGGTGATGCTCCGGTTGTATCTTGCTCCAAGGTGGTAACTATCTCCCCACAACCTCTCGACTACTTCCTCTCCCTTGCACCAACCTTCCCTGCATCTCTGCCGTTAAACTTACTGCCATAACCTTAGCCCTCTAACCTGCACAAACCCCATTACCTCCTTCCCTGCTGGCCTTAATCCTTTCTACCTCCCCACCTGTTGTCGTAAACCCTTCCCACAACCCAAAGTGCTGTGATAATCTCATCTCTATCCCTTTTGCTACCACTGACAACCTCTGTCTACCTTCTAGCTGTTGTCTTCACCCCTTCCAAAGCCCTTTGCTGAACCCGCAACCTCAACTTGCAGTCTACTTGGTGTCTAGCCGCCACCCATCACCTTCGTCCGCTCCCTAGGGTAATGTGTGTATTTTTTTCATTGTTGTTTTTATTATGAGAACCTTGTTATTGTAGTTTCCCGTATTTGACGATATTATTTTCAGTTTGCTGCAATTTAGGTTAACTCCGATATCAATTGGTATTAGCGCTAACCTAATTCTAGTCCTATCCTAGGGTTACCTAACATCAATCCCTACCCAAACCAACTTCCTCCCACCAAAAATTTTCTTTCCTACACTCAACCAGCTTATCCAATTCCCCAAACCCTAATCATGCCACGAAGGAGGTACATGCCAGAACTTGCCTGGAACAAGATATAGTGAGAGATTTGTTGCCTTCAGCAGAGGCTCGTGGAGATTGATAATAGAATCCATGGGAAAATTTCCCTCGATCGTGATGAAGAAAGTCAAAGATGAGAGAGGGACAAGGACCTGAATCCATTCCATAGGGAAGACATCAGTGATGAGGAAAACAGACCCCGATATTTTGGAATCCAAGAGGAAGCTACATATGGAGGACACTTGTATTTGGAATCAAAGGACCTATCAGGGTTTGATGGAGGTATGAATTCAAACAACTTTATTGAATGACTGCAGACAATTGAGAGAATCTTCGAGTACAAAGGAATGCGCGAGGATAAAAGAATAAGGCTCGCAATCATCAAGCTGAAGAAGAGCGCCTCTATGTGGTAGGAAAGTTTACAGAGATAGAGAAAGTGAGGATAGTGACAAGATTACTAAGCTAGAGAAGATGAAGAAGGAGATGCAGAGAAAATGTAACGTCTTTTTTTTTTTTTAACCGAGGAGATGAAACGAACAAAATCAAAGCATGGAGTCAGGCAATGAAGAGTCGGAGGAAGAAGAGGCGAGAGTCAAGAAACTAGTAGAAGGTGAAGAAGAATTGAGAAGCTCCGGAAGCTGAAAAGGGGGGAGAAGAAGCGAAATAGTTGGGAAATCGACTAGGTATGTTCGCCTATAAATTGACGCGAAAGAGGGGGGATTGATACGTAGAGGAATCTAGCCGAGCCGCAGTAAGAGGAAGGAGCATCGTGGAGGGGTGGCGTCGGTGTTTTGCAACGATGAGCCGACGTGGGGTTTGTGCAGAAGAAGAGGAAGCTGAAAGAAGTCCCTCTGTGTGCTTCTCTCGGTCACACCGAGAGATTGACGAATGAGGAAGGGGACATCCTTCGCATGTGGTGTTCGCGTGCAGGTCGAGCCGGGCCAAGGGTACGGGTAAGGACAGTTTTTGGTTAAATAATAATAATAATAATATGATATTTTAAAATATATTTTTTGAATAGAGAAATAAGCATAATAAAATTATGAAAACTTAAAAAATAGTTTATTCAAAGTAATAATTTAATTAAATATTATGTTTATGTTAGGCTTTCAATTTTTAGAAGAATCGACGTCTATGCCGATAGCAAATTAACTATCATTGATGTATGTACTTGTACTTTTAAATTATAGTAAGAATTTTTATCTTCTAAAAAATATTTGCAGTTAATGATATTTGTGGATAATTTGTTCTGATTGAGCTATTCTTTTCTTTATTGGTCATATTGTTGCAAATGTTGTAGCTATTTACTCATGCATCTTAGTATATATTTTATAAAGTATGGTTGAATGTGATGAATACATATATTTATGTTGAATGCTTATATGTGCATGCTTGATTATAATGGAACACCCTTTGACGACACTAGTAGAGAACATTAATGTACCCGTGCATGTAAATGAAAAAAGATATTAATATTGATGTGTTTTAATTGATACAACTTTTAGATGATGCCTCATTTGACGGCTGTATAGATATGAAATGATATTGATTTATAAATATCAAATGTTTATATTGATTTATAAAGAAGCTTAACAAACATACATATTGTTCTTTCTTTTCTACGTATTGTTGTAGTTTAAAAGTATGTGTATTCACTGGCTCTTTAGTTCATAGTTGTTTTAACTGTCTTTTTAGGTTTAACTAAATTATTAAAAAATGAGTGATAGATGAGAAAATATTTCATAAGATTTCGACAACCATCAATGAGGAAATTTTTATGGAATTGCTTTAATTTTATTTATAGCGACTCTTTCATCTCTTAGTTTGTAGACGAATATAAAAAATTAATTCACGTCGTCCGACTGTCGGTACCCGCCTTGGTTAATTACAAGTCTCGGGCTGAGTCGTGACAAAAGTGTTTTCAGAGCCAGGTTAATGATAAATTAATTGAATTTTGATGAAAGAGCAAATAGGAAAAAATATAAGTAAGCTTTAAAATTTAAAATTAACTCCAGGTAATAATTACCCATTCAGACATAGTGATACGCCTGAAATCATAGAAGAAAATTCGATAGAAAATAAAGAAGTACAACTTACTATTAATGTGAACATGAATGTCCTCACCCAAATGATGGTGTGGCAACGACTCAGTTGATTCAAGAGTCCAGATCGCAGCCTACCAGAAGTGATACAATCGCTGTAGATAAGTACTTGAAGATATTTCAAAATTTGTTTCCACCTCTGTTCAAGGGAACCGATGATCCAATTGAAGCGAATAACTGACTAATGAGGATAGAGAAGATATTAGATAACATGACTTGTCCAGATGAAAGAAGATTATCATTGGTGACGTTTGTGCTGCATGTAGAAGTTGAAAGGCGGTGGCGTGGGCAGCGTCAGGACAGGATAGAGGACATACCCCAGAA